AATCTATTAACTCATTCACCAGCATTAACACTACATATAGGTTTAAACCAAATGGCAACCAGACGGCACAACTTATTCTTCCACCAGTGCTATTCCTTCACTAAATGAGGAGTCAACACCTTTTTACAGCCGTAACAGAATGTTTCTTTTGCGAGCAAAGCAATGCGCGAACTAGAGCCCATCTCAACGTGAAGCTATGACAGGGTTTTTACTGCGAAGGGAACGGCACTTTTAATGAGCGTCGCTCGTCTCCTTAAATCTTTAGCGGTCGATAGTGCCCCCTGCAGCGTTCATGCTCTCAAGTGTTTCGATGATTCCCTCCCGCTCGGCAGCTTTGAGCAGACCTCTCTTCTTAATCAGATTGCTGTTCGTTAGGAGAATGGAGGTTTGATCGAGACACACACTCGACAAGCAGAGCTCCCGAGGTTGCCTTGTTTCCTCTCCAAGGTGTTAGGTGCCTCAGCAGGACATTCCAGATCAAAGTGATTTAATAGTTCTTGAGCTGATCTAGAACAGCCCAACTGGCTCTCAAACACGATGCTTTTTTTTGCAGCTTCGAGAGAGAGAGAGAGGTGCATAGATTTTTGGATCTCTCTCTCTCCTCCGTGGTGGGGGTTTGGACTTTTGAGGGCTTTTTTGGAGGTGCCGACCTTCAGATGACGGAGGTCCAGCCTGCCTTGCCGACAATCCTCCACATTCACCTCGTGGCTACCGCGTTTGCTTACAAAAACAGTCGCTGCACTTCGAGATGTTCTGATGATTATTAAGGTGCTAAAATAACGCAAAGTTTCTTCCTTTCGATGAGAGAGAGAATCATATGGTATTTTTCTCAGTTGGTGGCTGACTGGATTCTACTTTCTGATCCATTACATTGCCATGTTCCCATATCTGCTGGGCCATTATTCACTCGATCCGATCATCTCAATCGAAATCTAATTCAAACCAGTTTCCATGGCTGACACTGAGATTCCGGACTGGAAGCTCAGTGTTCCCCTCCCTTCCCCCATCGGGGTCTATTCCCACCCCCTTTCCCACCCCACACACACACCCAAGTCACTGGCTGACCGTAAAGTTAAGTGGGATCGTGTTTGCTCTGTTCGACCAGCGTTCTGAAACTGGCTCGGGGACAACTTGGGGAAGAGTTGGGAGGCATCGGAAGCCTACAGTCTTCTCCGGAGACAATCTCTTGCACTCTCACCCGGCAATAAATTAATCCAAATTCTCTGTGCTATTCCCCACGCCCCTTTACATTCTTCCTCTTCAAATATTTATCTGATTCCCTTTTAAAAATCGTTTCGCGGCCTTGGCCTCAAAACTTACGTGTAGAAAAGCGTTCAGTGTTCTTTCTCATAATCCTTTGCGCGTAAAACTAATCTCCGAACCTCCCTCTTAATTCTCCTAGTGATAATCCTGAGTTTATGCTTCCTTGTTACCGATACACTAAATAGTGGGAATAATCTTCCCCTCTTTATCCTCTCAAAAGCTTCCTGAGAAGGGAAGGGACGATGGTTGTAAGAGTGACTCCAAGAGCCCTGGATTGCTCCTAATGGGCAGATAACTGAGGACCACACGCCCCCTCTCTCCCTCCCCCTTACCCCCCCACCCCATTTCCCGGGGAAATGCTACAGCCCCCAAAGTGACCTTAAAGGGAAAGGCAATATAGCTCCCCCAAAATATCAGGCTAAAAAAAGAAAACACATATAAAACAACATTTTAAAAAGAGACTACTACATTGAACCCATTGAGTCTGCTTTGTCCAGTGTATCAGACGTGTGTGTCTCTTTAAGGGTCACAGTAACAGAGCAGCACTAAGCAAAGCTCCAATTTGTCTCAACTCAACAGTGAAGTGAAGGGTTCTCGAGGTATCTATAAAAGCTGAGGATACCATGGGTCTCCGTCAGATTTCATGAGAAATATTAGGTTATTAATTCCGTGTAAGATAATGGGAATCAATACAGGCGTTTTTACCTTATGAAATATAACCTTGTTCTGACCCAGACATGTCAATGGGAGTCACCTTATTATTTTAACGCTCACGCAGAGATGGAATTTATGCAACGAATTGGGGCCTCATTTATATTCGCACGCGCACACTCACACTCACGCTCTCACTCACACTCTCACTCACACGCACGCTGACGCACGCATTAAATTCTGCCTGAATTCGGAAGCTTCTGTGTTTCAAACGTAAATGAATTGCGGAAAAAAGCGGCTTCGGAATTAATACTGAATTTCGGAATCTGCCTCAATTCCTGCCCGATCTTCAATTTTAAGACATTTTAAGACAAAGTCTCACGGCTAAGACTGGGCGGAATTTTGGAACATCAGAATTGTCCCCAAAAAAGCTGCACCTCACCTTGGCCAGGTGTGCCCTGAATATTAATAACCGTTCTCTCTCAAACACCGACTTCAATACAAGTCGCTGGCTTTGAAGAAGATATAACAGCCTATTCTCTTCGGCTATCTGCATATGCATGATGTAAACACTATTAAAATACAATATAGGCATTCCACTTGGGAATTTGTAAAGATAAAAAAAATTATTGGAACTAAATAGGAGCTGGCAGGAGCTCGGTCACAAACACATCTCCACCATTAGTGAGTCTGGCAAGATGTGGTCCCATCTTCTTAGGTAACGTATCCTCCCCTGAGACTTCCTCAGAGATTATGTAAGTGTTAATCCTCTTGGGCTTCTCTTTCTCTTGTTCTGTAAATGGGCTGAAAATTATCCATTTGTACCGATCGCTGCACAAACAAAAGTCACGCACACAAAACGGTTCCTGTTTTTTTTTTGCCCTGTACCTTTCTCAGTCTTATTGCAATAAGGGGCAAGAACAACAACTTAAATTTATACAGCGGTCTTCACACACGGGTCAGGATTATGGAGCGCTTTTCTGAGGCACCGGTTTCCTGAGCTGTGCCTCCCTATCTAAGCCCACTCCCTTCCTCCCTAACCTGCCTGCACTGTTAGAGCAGGACTGTCCATTCTCTGCAGACATCTCCATAGATGAAGGTTTGACTGTTGATCGCTGGTTGTCTCTCTAAGAAGAGTTGGTGGTTTGGAGGTGGAGGGTTTGCTGGTATGGTGGGGGGTGGAGGGGGGAGAATTACGGGGAACAGGGGTGAAGTGTCATAACACCTGTTAGTGTATTATATACCTGCTCCTGTACTGAGGCTGTTTCGAAGTCCACTCAAGCCTTGGATTTGGGAGCTCAAACAGACACTCGTTGCCAAGGCTCCCACATGGATAACGACCACTTCAAGCCGGGTGCTGAAGGCTGAGTACAGCAAAAGGAAAAAGGAATTAAAGGCCAGGGCGGAGCGGAAAAAATTGGAGAAGAAATTGGGCAGGAATTTAATATTGGCCAACGCCAAATGTTGAGGTGCCCTTTGCTGTTTTTGAAGCATGCCACAGAGCTCAGGAGGGGTTTATTGACATCAAGGCTCCCTTTTACCACCACATTTGGCTGTGTGTGAGCCCAAGCGAGCTGGTAAACAACTGAGTCAAACACTGAGAATCTCTTTGCATCAGTTGCTGATCATCGCCTGATAAATGGCTCCCCAAATAGGACGATGAACCTTTATTGGGCAGACACCCTTTGCTTAATCTGCAAGCGGATTTGCAGGTAATTTCACATCCGCTGAATAAGATTGATTGCCCGAGCGACCCCTGGCAGCTTGTAAAATGTTTGGGAGGATTGAAGCTGGCGTGGAGACTTGATTAAGGACGATGTAGAGAAGCTCAGAGAAGTTGTGCTGCATTCAGTATATCTATCATTTTAATTTGGAACTTGCCTCTCACTGCTCAGAGCACTGAAAAAGCAGAGCTCGCTAACTCCCGAGTCTGAATCAATAAGACAGAAATATCAGGGCTGCAGAATAGGGAGAAACTGTTTCCTCTGGTGGGTGTGGGCTGGTTAACCAGAGGACACAGATTTAAGATAATGTGCAAAAGAACCAGAGGGGAGAAGAGGAGACATTTTTTTTAACCCAGAGAGTTGTTACGGTCTGAAACTCACTGCCTGAAAGGGCGGTGGAAGCAGATTCGATAGTAACTTTCAAGAGGGGATTGGATAGGGACTCCCGTTGAGAAGAGGGAGGGAGGAGGGGAGGGGAAAAGAGGGAAAAGACAGAGGGGCTGACTAGCAACGAGCACCGACACTGCTCAGGGCTATTGCCTTCTGCCCACACTGTGACAGGTGGAAGTAGAGGAAGTTGGGAGGAGGTGAAGGGAGGGAAGGGAAGGGCAGAGCATTGCACTCAGAAAGACGTCTCAAAGAGAAACGTGGTCTTAAAAACAGAATCAATCCGAGTAGATCTCAGAGGCCCGCCAGTCCTTGTATTGCCCTGTACCTTAGTCTAAAAGCCTCTATGTGGGTCAAAAGCCTATTAGCTTGGTTCAGCGCGTGCTACCATTAATTTCAGTGAGAGAGCAAAAGCAAAGTGAGTTATAGCACTCATTACAGCATTGACATTGCACTAAAACAAGCTAAACAAAATGTGAAGCCTGTCGTAAGGTACCTATAACCAATTCTGTCTGTCACATGGCTTAACCAGTGACTTGACAATGGGGGGGCAGATGAGGGGTGGGGGGGGGGGTTGGTTGTTGTTGGTGGAAACTCGTTGTATAATTGCCAACAGTAATATTCTGTTATTTAAGGACTTGACGTACTTTGCAGCGAGTAACATTGGCAGAATCCGCTGACAGACTTTACACAATTAAATCAGCTTGATGAAGGGGGAATGGACAGATTTTGGCACATGCCACTATGCTCATGCTTTGTATGTTTGTGCTTAATTAGCGAATACTTGCTGATATTTTTGGCAGAGACTTTTTTTTATATAAAAAAAACACATCAGGGTTGTCAGAATAAATCTGACATCAAAGTTACCTGCTGCACACGATGCGTTACAGGCCGAGGCTGTGAAACTGAACCTCATTAACTGAATGTAACTGGGTTTATTATTCTAATTATTGTTGTTGTTCCACTCTGTTGCAGCAACAGGGAGCTGCTAACACTGTGTACTGTGCCGTGGCCCCAGAGCTGGAGGGACTGGGAGGAATGTACTTCAACAACTGCTGCCGGTGTCTGAGCTCTCAGCAAAGTCAGAACCAAGTGACTGCAGCCGCCCTATGGGAGCTGAGCGAGAGGCTGGTCCAGGAGAGGGTTGGCAGCCCCATCATGTAGCAATAAGCCGTACACTCACTCACTCACACCGACACACACACACACGCACACAGTCACGCTTGCACAATCACACTTACACAAAACACATACACACCGCACAGGCACACTCACACACAGACACACTCACACGATTACGCTCGGTATACTTGCACACCCATACACACAGCAACAAATTACATTTGTTTAGCGCCTCTCACATCGAGAGGACGTCCCAAGGCGGAAGGATTTGCGTACACAATTGCACTCGCATTCTCACACACACACACACGCGCGACAGTCACACTCGCATTCACGCTAGCTCACTTGCACTCGCAGAAACACACGCACATTTGTACTGATGCACTCACGCTCACTCAAAGTCACTCTCGTTCGCTCAGGCTTGCATACACACACACCCAAATACACACACTCCCACACAAACAATCGCACTCTACACAAACATACATTCGGACCCAGGCACGTACACACATCCTCTCCCTGAAGATAAGGGACTTGGAAAAAAAAACACTAAGAAACTCTCTCTCCTTTTCTTTCTCTGTATCTATCTGTCTGTCTGTCTGTTTGTTTTCGCAAAATGAAAAGTCTTGGGAGATTTGCTGCTTGGCCTCTGAGAAAGCTGCAGGGTTGCACCCCTCTGTAACGTTAGCTCTGGTTTGATTAGTCGAGACAAATTAGAGACAGCAGGCTGCAAAGAATCACTGCGGTGAAATTTGCAGCATTTTGTAATAGGCTCCTTATGCTAATTATCACAAGGCAGGGGCTATGAAATGTCGCAAACTTCACCCGCACTCTTCTGAGCTAACATTGCTAAAAGGGATTAAAAAAATGATCTGTAAGATTTAGCATCGCAGTGGGACCCACCCGCTCTGTCTTTTATGTATAATATTCTTACTGATCGAGCCTCCGAAGGGTCAATTGTCATTAAAGAGACAGTCCCTTAACCGCGGATCCCAAACGTTCTTCAATTACATTGTAAATGTCTTTCACATTAAATATTTTTCAATGCACCTTATTGAAAACGTATTTCCTCTTTGCTTTTTCGCCTCTTTACGCAAGTGACTCAGTTACACACGTGGGAACACAATGCCCGAAATTCCACCTGGTCTTAGCCGGTGAGACCGACCACTTTGGCTTGAAATTTAAAGGGTGGAAGATCCTGTTTCCATGCTGCACGATCTACATCAAATCTATTCAAATTCCTGAATCCACTATTAATTTGCAAGCCAAAGTTTTCCCACACAAGAAACCGGCTTCCAAATCGAGATCGCATTTACGAACCTTGCCCAAATTGTGCCCCGTTTTGAATTGGGAGACAAAACGGTCCCTCGGGCTGAGACAAGGTGGAATTCTGGGCTTGAGAGCGGTGCGGGTCTTGGAACAATGCACGACCAGGGGTTTGCATGAAGAAGCATGATTTTTCTCCTCTCCCCCCCCACTCCCTCCCCTCCCCTTCTGAAACATAGAGCCACCAACATGTTGTTTACAGCTCCATCTGAAGACTTCAAAAAGAGCTTCCGGCCCCAACATTATTAGCAGTGAGGCTGATCATCCACCCTGGGGTTTGAGCCAACCTTTCTGCTTGCTCCACTCAACATGTTCCCGTTTGTAACTGATTCAAACGTCTCAACATAGTCGCACATGGAACCGCTTTACCAAAATTCATCACAGGGCTTTGCCACAGGCCTTTCGAGTGTTGACAAGTGTCCTACAGTCACATCAGCGATGAAATTAATTCGCTCAAAACACTTTGACCTTTTCCCACAAGTCCCTTGACGAGAGCGGAGGCTGAGCTTGGGGCCCGAGGGGCTCAATGAGAAGGGGGGTGGGGTGGGGGGCTGAGCTCTAAACATCGAGGGTCTAAATTGCGAGATTAGGGTTTTGCAAACGGAGAATCTCCCCCACAGGCCAATATCTCGCTCTCTCTACAGCCTCTAAACCACGGGTCGCAGTCTCGGCTGGGGATCGGCGACTGGGCGCAATAATGGGAATCTCATTTTTATCCCAAATTCCTTTTTTGGGGAGGGAAGGGGGGGAAATCCTCGCAATTTGGGCTCCGGTTGTGACGTGAAAGGCGATATACAAATCTAATTTTGTTGTTGTTGTTGTTGAAACACAAGGGATTGATGAACGGGGTAAATTGTGGGCTCGCTTGGTTGAGGTTGGGCGGGCGGGTGGTGGGGGGGGTGGTGGGGCACGAGGGAGTTCTGTTTTGTTTTGAAAGGTGAGGAGGGCTACACTGTTTAATGCAGACCCTTTCCCCTTCTCTCCCCACCCCACAACAGGCGCACGCGCACACACACTCAATCGCACGCTGCTGATAACAAGAAGATGAAGTGTTGCCCCTTCTTCTGTCGCGAGTACATTTCATCTCAGGTGCCGCGTAACAAGACTAAATGTCTGAGGCCAAAGCTTTGGTGGCTGAGCGGTAAGATTGACGGCATTAATCGTGAAGGTCGGAAGCACTGTTGGATTTTGTGGATTAAAAGTTTACGTGCACACAGTAGTTGGGTGGGTAGGGGTGGGGGGATGGGGTGTGGAAGAGTGCCATTGGGTGCAGATTGGCTCAAGAGGGGTTAATAATTGTCCCATCAAAGTCTTCTAAATCACAGTTTAAGACTGTATCGTCCCTCAGGTTCGCTTTCTTTCAGTCATTGTCTGTCCAGCAACGTCTTATTCAGTGATGTTGAGAATTTTTCCTTCTCTCTCTCTCTCTCTCTTTCTCTTTCTTTGATTTTTTTTTCTTTTAAATATTGTCATCAGCTTTTATTCAAACAACATGCGGGTATAATATATATATATTTGTAGATATACGCGTGTGACCTGAAGGAAGAGTTGTCCTTGATTTCTTCGTCGTTTGTTCTTAGTGTTAAAATAGAAAAGAGCCGGGGGAGAGGCTGGGGGAGGAAGGGGAGAGGAAGGGTGGGGTTGGAGGGATGGAGAGAGAGGGTCGGGTGGGTGGGGGTGTTGGGTAGAGAGGGTGGGGCGAGGGCTGAAGAGGAAACAAATTGAGGAACGAGCGAAGGATTCTTGAGAATTGCTACTTCCATGCTGTCTCTCTCGCTTCTATTTCTTGAGGTTTTGTGCTTTACGGCGTCAACTATCCGCGGAGAAAGTTTCGATCTAAGCGATCAGCATTCCAGAGTCATGTTTTCTGTCGAGAGAGAGAGAGAGAGAGAGAGAGAAAGAGAGAGAGAGTGTAAAAAAGACGAGAGGATTAACACTTGGGAGGAGGGGAGGGAACAATGCACGGGCTGAGGTTGGGATGACTGAGGTTAGGATGACCTGGAACGTGGGGAAATGTGCCGGGATTGGAACCGGTGCCATCAGGATGATTGACAATGAGTGGGGAAGGGAAAGTGGGTGGCGGGGTTGGGGGGAAAAGGACAGAGCTTATTAACACAAGCCAAACATGCTCATCGTCAACAGGTTGTGGCTTTACGCAATTCATTCCCTGTGCTAATTAACCCGCGCCCTGCGAGACGTCACAAACATCCCCCTACCCCCCCAACCCACGCCCCGCACCCCCTCTTGTGATATAATATAAAAACTAATAATAATAATTTGGCCACTCAATCCAGTGTTTGTGGGACGCTGCTGTGCGCAATTGGCCTCTGCGTTCCGCCCACAGAATATACAGTGTATTTTGTGAAGGGCTTTGAGACGTCTCGAAGACGTGATAAGGCGCGATATCAACCCCAAGGATTATTGGTAGAAGTGGCGGTAGTATTAGTCGTTCCTTTCTGTGGTAGTATTTTTTTTCCCTTCCCGTTCAGCCCTGTGTTTGTCTCGAGGAGCGGATACAGAGGCTTCTCCAACAGATGACACGTCAGATGTGAACAATCCTGCTCTGTGTCTCCAGCGCTATTAGCTGCATTTCAGCTGCCCTTCTCCTTTCTCTTCACTGAAGATAAATGAAAGTGCCGAGAGATGAGACAAGCGACGATTTACCCACACTCCACACTGCTGGAGAAAGCCACCCGTCTCACACAGCAGGTGTCTCTCTCTGCCAGAGCGAGGAACAGCATGCAAATAGTTATTTAACTCTCCAAGTGCCAAACTGAGACCTTCCTTGAAGGTAACGAAGACAATAGGTCCGTGCCTGACCTCGCCGTCGGTTGCAATGTAAAGGTAATAATACACCTTCCGTTTGATACGGCAGCTATTACATCAAAGCGTCTCTTGAGTGTCGCGGAGTCAAATGCTAGCAACTGTAAGTGGCTGCGTATTTGCGACCAGATAATTCGCGTACAGCGATGCCAGCAAACAGCCGTGACGTGAACGACTGATTTTATCCGGGGGGGGGGATTGGGATTGAGATGGAGAAACTCCCTTCTCTTTTCCAAAAATGTCCTTCTGGAGGAGGTTCGTCTGGGCCTGTCCAGGAGGTCGTAATTGGGAAAGAGAAGGGAGTTTCTCTCCCGGTGTCCTGTTTCTCTCCCGATTGGGGTTCGAACCCACAAACTTCCTACCCCGGGGTAGACAGAGAGAGAGAGACGCCGACAGAGTGGAGCGAGAGTGTGGCCTGGGCTCAGTCGGCCTGACACTCATGGCGAGGAAAGATCTTTAAATTCCAGCCGAAAGTCCGTCTTAACAACGAGCTGCCGAAAGGGAAATGTGTTCTCGCAGAGCAGAGCAGTTGTAAAGCTGTCAGGATGTTATGGATGCCCAAATGATGGAGAAGTCTTGCTACTATTTGCTGAATATTGAAGGAGGATAGCTAATGGTGTGCAACATATAAACCTGTTGTGCCAATCATCCATCTGTCTGTAAAGGGAGTGAATGGTGGAACGAGCGGGTCCTAGCAAAATGCCTCTTTAAGCATGTTCAGAGGCGGAGAGTACGACTGGAGCCAATCTCTCCCATTAACTGTTGTCAGGTAAATAACACATCAGCAAAAATTTTTTTAAAAAAATTATGCATATAGAGCAACGGGAGAGGCCAGAACTATTGCCCAACAACAACCGCTTTGATCACATCAAAATCGATTCAGTTATGAAATGAGACAAACGTGGTGGCTTCAGGATTATTAATAATAATAATAATAATAATCCTTGCAATTGATACAGCGCCTGATCACGTCTTTTGAGACGTCTCAAAGCGCTTCACGGGGTTTACTGTAAAGTGTAGCGACTGTACTTTCTGGATTAAGACCAAATCTAAGAAGCTGCCCTGATTCTACGCAGTCTTAACATTCTAGGACCAGGCAGTCTTGCAGCCGAAGCCGCGAGGTAGTTTGAGTCTCTACCAGTCAGGGGCTGAGAAGGGAGGAGAGCGTGCTGATGGAGACTTGTAGAAAGCACCCTCCAGGCTGCCAGCGATAGAGGACTCGGGCAGTGGAGAGTGTCAAAGGGATCTTTTATACGTTCAAAAGTTAATCGCTTGTGGTTAATTAAAAATTCTCCACTTTGTCCCTGGGGAGGAGCCATGAGACGAAAGCTCGAGGCATTTTTCTGCTTTTTCTCTCCAATGCCGTCTGATGTTCCAACTCTTAATATTATTTTAAACAGCGTTTGATCCACTGCGCTTTAGATTTAAGTTGTTTGGGCTTCCTAATTGAATGCCTGAGGTCACATTAAGCTCGCCCTCATCCTCTTGTGAGAGAGGCCGTAAGCTGAGGTGGGGTGGGCGGGGGAAGGGGGGGGAGTGGGAGAAGAGGAGGAGGAGGGGGAGATCAATTCAAATAACACCAAAGAGAAGGAAGCTTCAGGTCCCACGGGCTCGCGCCGTGGGTTAGTGGATGATCGCACAAAGCTTGTAAATCACGAGAGATTCACAGCTTCCTTCACGCAAACTGCCTGGATGGGCAGAATGGCCTCTTTGCATGCCTCGTCGCTTAATGCCAATCAAGCAATAGCCTTGGTTAGCGAGGAGAGGCATACAGTTAATGGTGAACCCATATTTTTGCAAACCACATCCGGAGACGCAGTTAATGTATCTATTTAAAAAATCGAACTCACACAATTGCCGACAATGGATTAACGCTGACAGGACTGAGAAGCGGGTTGGCTTAATGGCTGTGTCTCTCTCTGACGAGGATGTCTGTTTTAGAATGTTGTTGGTTTGCTGCCGAACTCGAGACGGGGCAAATTTGGCACCAGAGGCGCACTGTCTCCCCCGTCCGCAAATCTGACTGTCCTCGGAAATCAGGGGCGTGCGGTCACCCTAATGGACGTGGAACTCTCGTTCTGGTTTGGAAGCACGGTGATGAGTTTCCGTGTGTGCCAGATGACAGCCCCCCTCCCTCCCCCTACCCCCACCACCTCAAAAAGAACCTTACTGCTGTGCTGCCTGTTCATCTATCATGTCGAAAGCCATAGTGGTATCTGCTCTCGCTCTCCTTCCCACTCCCAGGCTTAGTGAAGAGAAACATATTGTTCTGAAAGCAGTGAGTGGGGGCGCGTGTGTGTGAGAGTGAGAGAGCGAGAGCGAGAGAGAGAGGTGTAGGTTGGGTCTGTTTCTATTTCCCTCTCTCTGTCTCTCACTGAATGTCCCTTCCTGCAAGGTGTTTTGGGGGTGGGGGGGGGGAGTTAAATCAATCAAAAGGTCAAGTTTGATTTCTCAGTGGTTCCGATTCCAGAAACAGACACAATTGAAATTTTACCCCACGGATGCTGAATTTCCCTTCCAGCTTTCATAACGCCCTGTGCAGTTTCTGCCCCAGATTAATGAATTGTCCGAAAGGTGCGCCTTCAACAACGCAGTGCTCTCGCCCCCTTACGTAGATAATAATAATAATAATAGTAATAATAATAATAATAATAATAATCCTTGCATTTGACATAGTGCCTTATCACGTCTTCGAGACGTCTCAAAGCCCTTCACAGAATATACCGTAAAGTGAATTGACTCTGTATGTTTTGTGAGAAGTATAAACACAAGGTACCCAGTGGTAGATCTAACAGAGCGGATGTTTAAGAGGAACCTTTTCACACGGAGGGAGGTGAAGATGTGGAACTCATAGCCGGAAGCATTGGTTGAAGGAAAATAGCGTCAATGAATGTGTCAAGTTTTAAGACAAAATTTGATGCCTACGAGAAGGGGAAGGGAATAGGGGGATAAAGGAAGGGGGGGAATAGGAGACGAGTGTGTGTATAAACAAAAGCACAGGAGGGAGGGGGAGGTTGTGGGGGAAGAGGGGAACTCCCCTTATTGGGTAGTTCAGAAAGGCCTAATCCGCTCACACTGACTAACAATGGAAGTGAGAGAGTACAGTAACATTATTTATCACTCCTCCTCAAACAGGGCACTGACTAACAACGGGAGTGAGAGAGAGAGGGAGGAATGAAACAGTTGTAACACACCACTCACACCGTTGCACAAGTTGTGAGAAGGGGACGGTGACGTTATTTATCACGCCAGAGTCTTCGGACCAACAGACTGACTAACAGTAGGAGAAAGCCCCTAGAGTGATGCTGGTATTATTGTCCCGCGCTGTGGAGAACTGCCTCAACCTTGCGCTGTCCATTCTAAAAACTGTCAAGCCATTCACCCTAAAACTCAGGCCTGGAAAATTGATTCAAGGTTTGCAATCAGTTTTCTTTTCAGGCCTTTCCCCTCTCTCTCTCTCTCTCTTTCCCCCTTTCCTTTTCTCTGCTCCTTCTTTCCCTCCCTCTCGTTCCCTCCCTCCCTCTCTCCTTTCCCTCCCTCGCCTTCTCTCTCTCCCCTCTCCCCCTGCTCTTTATTGGTAAAGTGAAGGGAGTAATTGAGTAACCAAATTATTTTTTTTTTCAGGGGTTATTACCCCTGGAAAAGCAATCCTACTTACTGTTTGGTAAACAGAGGCGTGTGTGTGGAGTAAGGAAACTTGCCTAATGTTTCGCCCCGACTCGCCCGGGAATCGTACCCCGTTCCTTTTGCTCGCGAGGTGAGCTCTCTCCCTGGCCTTTTTTCTTCTTCCGAGTATATTAGCCAGTTAATATGGAAATCAGCTTGTCACCGAGCTGATAAGGTGCGAAGTCGAGACCCAAAGGTAATTTGCACAAATCATGTGGGAGCGGAGAAGGGGTGAAATTGGAATTTTCTGGACGACTTTCAATTATCGCGCTGTTCTATTCAGCCTGGCTCAGACTCGACTTCTGAGTCAGAAGGTCAGGGGTTCAAGCCCCCACTTTGGGCACTTTAATCTCACGTAGTCTAGGCTGACGCTCAAAT